TGTATCCTGAGATGCTGCTATATTCCTTGATCACTTTAAGAGTTTTGAAGTTGAGTCCCTAGGATTTTCCAGGTATAGGATCATATCATCAGCGAAGAGTGAGAATTTGATCTCCTCTGACCCTATTTGGATACCCTTGATCACCTTCTCTTGCCTGATTGCATTGGCTAAGACTTCCATTACTATGTTGAATAGTAGTGGAGACAGTTCACATCCTTGCCTCATTCCTAATCTGAGTGGAAATGTTTTCAGTTTTACACCATTCAAAATGATTTTGGCTGTGGGTATGTTGTAGATGACCCCTATTAGTTTAAGAAATGTCTCTTCTATGACTATTTTCTTAAGAATTCTGATCATGAAAGGAAGCTGGGTATTATCAAAGGCTTTTTCTGCATCAATTGAGGGAATCATATGGTCTTTTTATTTTATTGATGTGATGTATTATAGTTATAGATTTGCATATATTGAACCACACCTGTAACCCTGGAATAAAACAAACTTGATCATGGTGTATAGGTTTTTTTTGATGTGTTGTTGAATCCTGTTTGCTGAGATCTTATTGAATATTTTTGTATCGATATTCATTAATGATATAGGTCTATAATTTTCTTTGTTTATTGGATCCTTTCCTGGTTTGGGGATCAGGGTGATGTTTGCTTCATAGAATGTGTTGGGAAGTATTTCTTCTTTTTCTATGCTATAGAAAACATTGTATAATATAGGCACGAGTTCCTCTTGAAAGGTTTGATATAATTTGGATGTGAAGCCCTCTGATCTTGGACTTTTCTTTTTAGGGAGATTTTGTATTGTCAATGCTATGTCAGTGGTTGATATAGGCCTATGCAAAGTTTCTAATTCTTTCTGGTTGAGTCTAGGAAGGTGGTGTGCTTCCAGGCATTGGTCCATTTCCTTCATATTTTCATATTTCTGGGAATAGAGATTTTTGTAGTAATCATTGAGGATTTTTGAATTTCTGAAGAGTCTGTTGTTATTTCTCCCTTACTGTTTCTGATAGACAATATTTGAGATTTTACTTTTCTATTTCTGGTTAGGTTGGCCAAAGGTTTATCAAGTTTGTTACTCTTTTCAAAAAACCAACTTTTTGTTTCATTGATCTTTTGAATGATTCTTTTGTTTTTAATTTCATTTAATTCTGCCTTGATTTTCATTATTTCTTTTCTTCTGCTGGGTTTGGGATTGCACTGTTCTTCCTTTTCCTGGTGCTTGAGATGATCCA